AATGTAAATCTTTTATTGAGATACTGCTCGAGAACGAACATCAGATGACATTTAAGCAAATACGGGATGAAACAATAACTATTATAATTGGTACATTTTTTTAAACATTTTGTAGAGAATGGGCGGCATGTGTATCATAAGGGCCTTTAAAAATAATAAATTCTCTAACAAATACACAACGCGTACCAACCTATGACATATCAAAGCGTTATGGCGCCTTTCTCTTAATTAAATAATTCCAAAAAACAAGCGTATAAAGAGCGCTGTAATTTGTTTTATTCTATCTTTTAAAATTTGGTTTTAGGAGGTCAAGATACTACAGCTTTGGTGAACGCGTGTATAATATTTATGTTGGCTCATCATCAGGATGTACAAAATAAAGTAAACTAAACTGAATACTAATTCGAATTCAGTTTTATGAATTTAAAAATTAAATACCTACTATAGGTAATCTTCGTGACAAAAATATGATACATTTTTAATTCTCGCTTAATAATAGGTGTTGGAAGAGTTATTGACAATATTTTCTACTGACGATCCGGATCGACAACCTACCTACGAGGACTTACAAAAGATGCACTACTTGGAACGTGTAATCAAAGAAACTCTAAGACATTTTCCCTCGCTTCCGTTTTTTGGCAGAAACGTTGGAAAAGAAACTGTTATCGGAGGCTACTTGATCCCCGCAGGTACGGCCGTATACAAGTTTGTGGGATAAATTGCCACACGCGGTGCTTGAAATTACTAAGTTGAGTAATGTAAAACAATTATCAACAGGGTCATCTTTCATGATTATTCCTGCTCGCATACACTTAAATGCAAACGTTTATCCGGATCCAGAAAAGTTCAATCCGGACCACTTTCTGCCCGAAGCCTGCCGCAATCGCCATCCGTATTCGTTCCTTCCTTTTAGCGGTGGTTACAGAAACTGCATTGGTATCAAATATGCAATGCTCCAAATGAAAACTATCGCCTCGACATTGGTCAGGTCTTATCGTTTCCGTCCGTCGGAGAAGTGTCCCGAACCAGAAAATCTTCGTTTAATGTTTGCTGGGTCACAAAAGTTTGTCGACGGGTGTTACGTTAAAATAGAAGCGAGAACATGATGAATTTTTGAAGCAGGTCTTAAACTAAAATTATTTACGTATTTGGTTAGGGTTTGTTCGGGTCATTTATTAATAATATTGTTAAGGGTTTCGTTATTTTTTAGATTTTAGGTCAATCAAATTTGGTTAACCGAGAAAATAACTATATCTAATAATAAAACATATGTTATAAGGTATAGTTATTATTTTGGCTTACAAATTTGTTGGTGTTTTCTCTTCTTCCCAAATATATCTTTTATAAACTGTTTAAGCTGTCCATAGACATTTTTTTCTCGTTTTTTTAGATATCGTTTATCTGTTAGTTTAATATTATCTTATATTTAAAATTGCAAGTATCTTTTTGTCCAAAACAGATATTGTAAAATAGTCACCGTTATTTTGTTCTTTAATTTAATAAAATTTGGCATTTTTCTTTAGCTTCATATTAATGAATAAAATATAATAGGTATTATAATATTGAACATTTTATTTTAACAAAAAAAAATTTATAAGACATTTTTTTTAATTTTTGTGGATTTTGCATCATTGTGGTACCAAAATACAGCCTTGGTAAAATTGTCGAATATTTAGTTATATAAATTTCGGGTTATGGAAAAAAACTTAACAACAATTTATAATAACAATAAAAATTTGCTGTGAAATACATTTTTTTATTACTGAAATCAATTCTAATAACATTTTTTTATTAGGTTATTATATTGCCATTATAAAAACGTACTTGTAATTGTATTAAAAAACGTTCAAGTTTGCATATTTTATTTATTAATTTTTAGTAAGAATAGACTGAAACAGTTATTAAGATTTTTAACCGGTAATCTATAAACCTCTATAAACTGGGATGAAGTATAAAAAATGTTAAGCGCCCCATAAGAGCAGCCAATACAGGACTGCTAATACTCTTAGTGGCATGTAGCCGTTTTAAATAAGTCGGTTAATGTGTAAATGACAGCTGGTTTAACATTATTTATGCGTTTTAAAATAGTAATTGTATTCTGAGAAACCGAGCGTCTTATCTTTAAGGGAAACAGAGAGCGTCAATTTGTTTACTTATCAAGACTAAAACGCGAAGTCACTTTCTGAAGTGTCTACCAAACCAATATCAACAATTTTTTTTTCCTTAAAATTTCTTTCACAAAAGTCGTTTTTTATTAGACATTTGCCATAACTCGGAGAAAAATAGCTTTTTAAGTGTTTAACAGCTAGAATAATTTTATATTTTTGCACCTTAAAATTAGTCGGCATATTTTAAATTGTATTGTGTTAAAAAGTATATTAAATGTTCCAACGACTATTCCCACGGTTACTTAAAATTCAGACGAATAATCTGCCTTCATAGTTAATAATGTTAGCGTATGTATTAAAAAAAAAAAATTACAAACGTATGCATTGTGTGTATAATATTGTAAACTAGAAAAAGGTATTATAGATGTACTTCATTTATCATTTATATTGTATGTACGCGTTACAAAACTAATTTTGTCATATCGATGTATGACCAAATATGATGTATATGATTTTAAGTGTCAGATATTGATTGAACATTAATATGATAAAAAATAAAGCATATATATATATATGTTACACATTGACAATAGTTGATTAACAATTCAGATGTAATATATAAATTAAAAATATCCAAGCCTCCTTTAGTCCAGTCGTCAGAGGATCAAATCGCGGGGGTACCTTCGAAAAATTCCGACTTTAATGAAACTTTAGGAAGTTGTTTGTGGGTGTCCAGTAGTGCTTCACCTAATTTATCCAACAAAAAAACCCCAGGGGAAAAAACCCCAAAATGTTCGCACTTTTTTGAGGTTTTTCGATATATTTCGAAAACGGTTAATTTTAGCTGATAACATTGAATTAGTAAATTGTAGAAGACTAAATGTCCTACAACTTTTATGTATATAACTTTCTTTTTGACCGCATGATACAGAGTTTGAAAAAGTACAAAATTTCATCACAGTCGCTAAACCCGTTAACAAAGTAAAATACTAGAACATTTAATAATAATATTAAAAAAAATAGTCAATAGTGGTATTATAAAGTGTTGTCTAGATAATGAGTGTTATCGCTTGCGTAGCTTCTATTTTCGACAACGGGCTAAATCGTTTAACTATAACGGCTTATAGTTCTGAATTTAGCAATAAGTACAGCTGAACAAATCAACACTTTTAACAAAAATATAATCACCGATTCAATGCCGAATAGGTCCTATTTATTCATTTTTAAAAGATAACGTTTTATGTTTTACAATAAGCAAATAAGAATTAAAACAATGCCAAAAGAAACCATGTTTTAATCAATATTGATCGTGTCAACCCTCGTTCATATTAATTTGTATTGGTTAAACATAATTGCCTTATGTGTTAAAACTTAAAACCCTAAGAACACATTATAACTGTAGCGTATATATTTTCTCATAATTTTAAATAAAGAATATTTTTTAAATTTTGTCTGGTCTATAACCGGTTTTTGATAGTTACTTTTTAAGCTACTAAAGTTTAAAATTTAGGACGGTAGGAGGAGAGCATTGAAGTAATGCGTGCAGATAAAAATAATACTACACGCCAGCCTTCTTAAAGTTTTGAAGTATAATAACTTAAAAACGCTTTTAACGACACTTATCCAAAACCGGTTATCTACCAGCCAACATTCTCAGCAAATTATTCTTTATTTAGAAAGTTAATTAAATAAGTATGTTACCATTAAAGTTTTAAAAGCTAATAGCGCTCCGGAAATCGCTAAAAAAAGGTAAATATATAGTGGTTTTCAATTTATAGGTAATATACATTTAACTATTGTACATAATTAATGTACAATAGGTAATAGATACGCCAGAAAATGACTTCTACTTTCGCCATAGCTCGGAGAAAACAAACTTTAAAATTATTATAACAATTGGAAAAACTTAATAAGTTGATCAATTAAAAATTATATCAAAATTGGCATATTAAAAACGGGTACTTGATAAATTCTCGTCAAATATTGCTTATCTTTTGCCAAAATACTTATGTTAACAAAGTAATTGCAATTACATTTGAGATGCATCAATTTCTTCGAGAGGTAATAAATTCAAAATGTAAAGCATTTTATTCCTGAAATACATAAGTGCTATTAAAATTTAATATTAAACACAATTTTATTTGATTGCCAACACAATTTTAATCAAAACAATGCTCATGTCAACATAACGTTAAGAAAATGAATAATACAAATTAAAGCTAATTGTAGTTACTTTTTAAAACGGCCTACTTAAAAAATGAATACCTACATATTGGTCGATATTTAATCGAATTAACCTATTATTTGAATGGTAATAAATACCTTGCATTTATATTTTTTTTAAAATCGGCTTTTGAAACCGTACGCGGGCGACCCAAATGATATTAATATGGCTCTAATGAATGCGGTATGTGGTCACTTTTGACAAAAAGTGGCGCCCATTTAGCTTGCCACTGCATGTGCACCAACCGAAGGTAGATATGTTTTTTAATTATCAACCAACGAATTATTAAAAAAAAAAATGCATTATTTTGGTGTAATTTTATCTAACTGTTGTGTGTGCTCTTATAAAACCCACGGGGGTTTTGCCATCTTTTGTCAATTACAAAATATTACGTTGAAACTTTTAATTATTTTGAAATTTGAAATTTCAATAATAATACTTAATAGCATTATACTTACTTAAATGGGAATTATCATTGTTATGGGGACCCAAACGAGAACCGGCTTCCGCCCGTCGTCCGGGCCTGTCCGCCGTGCACCGCGCCGCGGCAGCACTGCGGCGGCCGCCCGCGACATGTGCGCGGGATGGTTCCCAACCGGATGACGGCGGTGTGCACGCCGCGGCCGCCACTGTTGACTGTTCAATGATTCATTACCCGTCGTCCGGCCGTCGCGCGTTCATTGTCGCCGCCGCAGTGCCAGTATTTACCCGCGTGTCAGTGTTTGTTGCCGTGCCGTACCGGTTATACCGCGCCGACGAATTATTTTGATTTTTTTTAAAGTTAATAATAATTTCTATTTTTTCAAAATCACATACTTACACTCTCCGTTTGTTTTACCGTCGGTTTTTTTTTTTACGCTCGTGTTACCAATTTTATTAGCCGGGAAACGCGTGCCAACAGCGGATCCGCTCTCCAGGTAAGAATACCTACATAATAATATTAATATATTTTCCTCTGTTCGGTTATTATTGTTAGATTATCGTTATACATTGTACGATATTTTGTTTTTTAGAATATTATATTTTCTAATAATTTCGCTATTGAGATTTGACAATTTCCCGGTACCTACGATAATTATCGTATGACGATAACAATTATTATTAAGTTAACAAGTCACCGGTACAAATTTTCTATGTTTTTCAAAACGTCACTTTAGTCTGATAACCGTTAAAAATGATGATATAAATCTAGTTTTACGGGCTTTAGTTGTCGATTAAAAAGGTATAATATGCATAGATCGTTGGAATGTAGATTTATGTTTAAACATTCCACCATTAAGTTCTATTTGCTTGTATGTTATCAGTATAACTTAGTGTAGGTATATAAATAGTTGACATTCATTTTATAGAAGTAAAGGTATACAACTGATAACGTTGGATTAATTTAGTAAACACGTGCACGATTATTATTGTTATTTTTAGGGTAAAATACTTATATTATAATGCTTAAGAAGTTTGCATATTTCGCATGTAATCAATATAGGTACGATTATGTATCAAACTAATACTCATATATTTACTTTATAAAACGCATCAATCACCTCGCCATTGGTAATTTTCAACCCCTAAATAGTGCTTGTGAAACTTGCCAGAAATAATTATCAGTCAATCTAAGGTAAATTAAATAGTAATATTGGAGCCAAAGTTGTAAAAAAAAACCCAGTATTTTGTTTTGTTTTGAAAACCCAAATTAAACCGTGCAAATTTGTATGTATTTATGACATTATTTTTATTTTACCTAAATTATATTTCGTGCTTATTATTAATTATCTTTATTTTTTTGCCAAGTTAAAAATAAAATATTATTAAATAAAACATGTGTACATTGGTATATAGTAAATAATTGTGCATTTCATAATGAAAACCTGATTATAATTCAACAATTATTGTTTTACATAATATATTTTTCTTGTTATTAAAACTTTCATGTAAATCTTAATAATTTAAAAGAGGGTTATTAAAAATATTATGCTGTCAGTCTTGTAAAATATTAATATTATCAAAATTTAACCGTTTTTGATCTTGGAAGACAATTTTATTTATTTTTTGTAACTAAATATATATTTTAAAGAATTTTCCTGCTTCAATATACATTTTACTTTGCCTCTGGCACTCTTTGAATGATACCTTTTTTTATTAGCAAATGAAATAGTTTTAAACACAAATAAATTGGTTTTTTATCTTACCAGATTATATATTTATAATACAGTATGTTACCCTAAGATGTGGGTTGTATGAAAATGTTCAAAAATATTTCTGGAGGGGTTTTCAGGGTTGGCAAAATTCTTAAGTAGGCACTCCAATACATTGGAGCGTTCCTGTCAGATACGGCGAGCTTTTCTAGGCGGACAATGGTGTTTTATTGGTTTTTTTTTTTTCGAGTAGTTTAAAATATTATTACTATTATTGTACGTGTATACCGTGGATTTCACACGAACCCTTTTTCCCGGTGCCGCGATAGATAATGTTATTGGGCAATGTTAAACGGATGATAGCTGTGAAAAATCTTTTCGACGCACTCGACCGTGAAAACCCCATATGTCTCTCGTGCACAACAGCTACCGCCGGTTCTTTCACCGGATTCCAGGGTAATTTTTTATACATTAGTATATTATATATATTATTATTATTATTATTATCATCATTATTACATATAATATATACTATACTATATTATATTATTGTGTTGTCCGAAGAGGAGGCGGCGGCGGCGGCGGCGCGATAACCTTGTGAAGAATGTGTGATGTACATAGACCCCGTTGGAAGCTGTGTGTGTGTGTGTGTGTGTGTGTAAGTATTTCATTGAGGAATTCAAGGGAGAGACCACAGACGGCGGAAGAAATGAATTATTTCTTCTTTACACAGGAGTCGCTTATAGCGCTTTGGCGGTCCCATTCACACGACAAGCCAGGGGAGGGTACGTGCGGGGCGAGGAGGTGTAGGGGTGGCGGTAGTACGTCCATTCACTGTTTTATTACTTAATTTGTGTTGTTTTTTTTCTTCCCGAAGATCGATTAGTGGGCGTTGTTAAGATTTTTTTGTTTTTAATTCGTTTTCAATGTGGGTAGTCGTCTCTTGTGCTCTGTACCATCCTCTACACAGTCGTAGGTACTATAGCATAATATTATTTTACCATGACCGACATGTGTTGTTTTTAAAACGTCAAGACCGCCGCCACAGCCGCCGCTACTATATAATATACATACATACTTACTTACACATTATACCGCATACCTCTATTTATTCGGTATGATGCGTATACACTGGTAATCAGGGTACATATCCGGAAGGGGGGGGGATAATTTCTCAATCTGTTTCCCTGGAAAAAAAAAATTAATTTCAAATAGTTTTCCTCCACAGACTCTAATGACTGAGTAATATTTAACTGTGATATTAATAGTAACAGAGTAAACTCAGCCGGTGTTGCTATTCATTTGAAACCGGAAAAATATTATTAGATATGTTCAAGTATTGTCCTGCGATCCACCTTGAATTTTCATATTTACCAATAAAGAAAGTAGAGAAAATAAAATTTGTATTTTCTATAAATAGATAGAAGATAAAAAAATGTATTAAGATCAGTATAAATTGGGTGTAGGCATAAATGCGACCAATTCAATTTTTGTTTTTCGAAACGGTTTTGACTTTTTTCCTTAAAGAAAAATCGGCCTTTTTGGATTTTCGGAGTGCAATGAACTTAAACTTCTAATAACTCTTACTGGGTTATTATATAGTATTTATCCAATACTTTTTTCTCTGGTAAAAACCATGTATTGTATTTATAAAATTCAATAACGGTTTTTTTGTTGTGTGTTCCCACCAATATTTTTTAGCACTTGGATCATCGTGTGATCCATATTTTTCAGCAGGTAACCGAAATAATAATAATTGTAAGACTGTTGCGGTTTTGCGTAGTAGTTAAAGAAATTGGAAACGCAGTAGGTAATGTGGCTCGGTGAAAAAAACACACGGTTGGGTACAGATGGTGTTTAATTCTAAGTATAAGTTAGCTGTTATTATATATTTTGTATATGTGTACTATCGAAACCTATTTGTACAAGACATCCACAGGTATTTTTTTTTTTTTGCTCTCCAAAACGAAAGCGGTTTTCACACTGACATTATCATTATTATTATTATCATTATCGTCTTATTATCATTATCTTAAGGATTGATTTGTGGATTAGCCGTTTAACGACACGACAGAATATTATTATAATTTATAACGTTTGTATGAAATATTTAAGTAGATAGGTACAACTCGGTCGTTTATCAAACTCGGTGGTTTGTATTATTATTATCTAATCGACATTATAATATATTGTGTTTGACCGCTATGCTATTTTCGGTCAATTATTTATATAACAACTGAAACGGCTCTCCTCCTCGTGGAAAAGATCCTAGAAAAAAAAACACGTTTAATTTTCTCCTACGCACATACTATTACAGTAATATCGTTGTTTACTACACGCTTATTGCTAGCCTCTTATTAATTATAATCAATAAAATAAAAATACATTATGCACTTATTATATATCGGTTGATTGTGCTCGTCCCAAGAACAGCTGTCAACGGTACACGCCTCCCACGATTAGCTATTTTTTTCACTTTTGTCCGTGGGATGCGATAACCGTTTAATAGCGCACGTCATCGTGTTTATCATGTTGTACTCGCTTAAAGTTTGTAAAAAAAAATTAAAAAAAAAAAACATTAATTTTTCATTTTTGAAATGCAACACACGACCGGTGATCGATAGCTGTTTGATTTGTAACCGCCTCCCACGTGTGTATTTTAATATCATTTACCCAACGACTGGCGCACATAGGGAACACAATACTATTATAATGCTACTATGATAAAATAACGTTAATAAAATAAATCTTCTCGCTCCATGTGAGAATAATATTATTATTATATTTCAGTCGTGGCCAATTGTTGCCCCTGAAATGTCCTTATTTAAAATTACAGTTAAATTGTTTAAACATCAAAAGCACTTCTGTGAATATAATTAAAACATCTTTATCCGTCTTCGACCCTATTTAAGAAACCCCGACGTGTAGGGATCACTAAAACGCTAAAACAAAACAGTTGAATTGAGTTTTGTCCATAACTAACACAGACCAGTCCAATAATATTATCAATCAACAACAATTAACGCGCTATCGGATTTTAAGTAATTATCGATAAACCGTTTTCAATCTTAGATTTTTTATAATTTATTAGACTACTAGTGCAATCATAATATTGATATTTATTTTTTTTTACAAACCGTTACAGACTATGTTTAACAGTAGAATACAATAATTGCGTCTCGATTGGATGGGTTACATATTATTTTCTAGTCTAACAAAGCCCATCATTATTTTTGAACCAAAGGAGACACTAAATATGTTATTGACGGACATTGCCTATTAAAAAAAAAAAAAAAAAAAAAGAGTATTAATTGAACTGATTGAATTAGAAAACGTTCAGGTCGTTCAGTGAATGAAATCTGCACTTATGTTTTTTTTTTTTTAGAAATTATGTCCGATGAGGTGTGTTCTCATTTGAAAAACGAATAAATTACCATTATTGTGTTAAAATATATATATTTTTATCTCGCCCTCCTTGCACAATATTGCGGTTTTATTCTAATGTATTTACAGCTGTTAACTAGTCTAAAGATTGTGTTTCACCGAGTTGTGTAATCGACGACCGTCGGGTTAATCGATACGGCGTTTGCATAGGTTTTATTATTTTTATGGTGAAATTTTGAAAGAAAAAAAAAACCCAATCCAATAAATTATTTTGTCCGAGAAACGGTCCGGTCTACAACCTATCGGTGTGCATAATGCAGTGCATAGTATGCACCAGTCACTACTTGTGTATAATATTATTACACTGGACGAATGACAAAGCTGTAAACCGGCTTTTTATA